AAGAAGGAAAGAAAGAAAAATACGTGGGCAACAGAAACTCCTGAGGGTCTGATCACACTGTTCAGAAAAGCCCTGGAATTCCCCATGGCTAAATTTTCATCATGTTCAAGAGCTACTAACTGTGTTTCTGTGTGTGTGTGTGTGTGTGTGTGTGTGTGTGTATTAATCCATGAATGAGATTGCCAGCATTTTACAAGGCATCTCCTTTTCTTCTAAGCTTTTTAAAAATCATACTACATCACGTGTCCTTTGTCTCACTTCGCTCACTGGCCAAAGGAAATAGTGCAAACACATTTCTGGCCGGCGGAATGTGGGTCTCTGATACCTTTGCAAACCCGTCCCTTGAGATATGGGCAAGTCTCAGAACAGCTAGAAGAGAGACTTCATGTGACGCGGAGATCTTAAACTTGAGTCTGTGCAGTAACTTGTTAGAGAGCTTCTTCTATGGAAAGGAGGGAGAATAGGTGTGGATATGAGGGGAACATATTGTGACTTTACATTCAAGCAACCAGGAGCTCTACTGCGTTTCTTCAGAAGCTCGTAGAACAAACTTATTTCCCCCTCTGTACCAACGAAGACCCTGAGGCAGATGGATGGGTGACTTGCTCAAGGCCTTACAGATAAAAGTAAGGGATGGACCCAGGCTTGGGGCTGGGATTGCTTGACTGCCAACTTCTATCCTCTACACATTTGACACACAGTAGGTGATCACTTGTCTTATTATCCCTTCCTCTCTTTTTTGGAACTCTGGAGTTCCCGCAGAGCTGCGTCCTGATAGTTCTGTCATGGAGGTGCTCGCCCTCCACCTGCCCGGCGGCACATCTGGAACTGCCTCACTGACCCACCTTCAGGCACAGAAACAACCAGAACATGCAAAATACAACCTTCTAGGAAGAGAGCGTTCACCCTGAGTCGCAGTTCCTCAGGCTTTTATTTCATTGGCTTCAGTGTGTGTGTCCTTCCCAGACAAATGGGTTTCTGTCTGAAATCACAAGTGGTAATCCGTCCCCTACCTTCCCACAAGCCTCTATGAGGTAGAAGAGCCAGTCTCTAAGCAATTTGAAGGTTTTAGAAGTTCAAAGGCAAGAGTAAACTCATGGCGGAGCTTTCGAGAGAGAAAGCAAGTCTTAGGGAAGATCCTGGCTTTTCCAGCATGGCTTCACTGCAGCCAAGGGCACTTCACAGCACCGAGAGGCTGGGGAACGGTGGGTAAGGGCTGGTTGGATGAGATGAGACCCCCATTAAAAAGGGGGTCTTGAAAGGGGCTGATTGTAAGCATTAACAATCATTTAATACAGTCATTTTCCCAATCATCACTCAAACCGTTTTTGCCACAGCAGAGCTTTCCCAGTGGGCTACTGAGTAGCTCTCTCCGCTCTTAAAAGGAATTTCAGCTCAGGGAAGTGATTCTTTCTCGTGGGGGACGCTGAGTGGGGCAGGTGTCAGGCTGCAGACAGCTCTGGTGGGTGATGTTTTGCTCCGCCCTCCAGTACTGTCAGTCCGGTTCCGCATATCGGCTGTCTGACATGGCAGAGGCGGACCAGAGCAGCCTTCCTGATTAAACAGTCATCTTGGAAACTGTCCCTGGACCTTGGATATACCATGTTTTACAAAGAACGTTTTATGAAAATCACGTCTCCTTACTGATGGAACTTCTGCACTGCCTCCGTTTCCTGCAGCTCAAGATAGCCTCCCAGCAGGCAGTCTTATTCAATGACCTCCAGGGCTGAGATGTCACCACAGAAGGCAGGCCACTTTTTGGATGATAGAGCTCTGTTCTCACTGGTTTTTTTTTTTTTTTTTTTTTTAGCTGAGCCATCCCGCCACCTGTTGGCAGCTCACGGCTGCTCAGCTCGGGCTGACTCGAACCGCTGTTGCTCAGAGCTCAAACTCTTGAGCGAGCTCTTAACCAACTGAGCCACTCAGCCGGCCCTGATAGAGCTCTGTTCTCAACCTTTCCTCCTAGAGCCCTCACTCATCCTAATACCCCTGTCCACATAATCCCCCCAGCTCTAGGGAAAGATGCAATTGCAAATCAGATTTGCTTGTCTCTGCTGACCAGGAGAAAGCCTTTTTTATTGAAAACTAATTGGCCAATTCTACTTTTAGAGACCAGCCCAAGTACTTCTGACTGGTTCTTAAAGGTTCACAGGGGAATATGTTAGGTGTCAGAGCTGGAAGAGATTGTCAAGGTCAGGAGGCCCAAGGATGAGGAGAGAGATGGGCTCACCTCCCACTTTCCTTTTCTCCCTCCCTGTCTCCTGGCCACTTGCCTTTTCCTCCTTCCTGATCACTGCTCTCTGCATGCCCAGCAGCAGAGCTCCTGGACACCCATCAGAACCTTCTGGGACAAAGTGGCTGCCAAGAGTGGTCTGTTGAGTTCCTTAGAGGTCAAGTGCACCAGGATGGGCATGTAGTTTGAGAACCCGGCTGAGACTTGACGCTAAAATATCTCTGTGCTGACTTGGACAAGACAGCACACGGCTGGAGGCGGATTTACTCGGAAGCTATGAGCTTAAGTTCAGGCCCCTTCCAAGGCCCTGTTCCTGGCATATTGTTTTGTTTTGCATATTGTTTTCTTTTCTTAAAGAGGGCTCCAAATTGCATGACTGCGCCCACTCCTGCACACACCTATTGGCACCTTCTCATGGCCAAACTGACGACTCGTTAGAACTGTAACAAATCTGTGCTCAGCCTCACAGCCAGGACCCTGTTGAAAATGCTCTCTGGTTTACCAGGGGTAAAGCTTAAGGACTTAAAAATGTGAAAGAAAAAATTAGCTTAAAGCATTTAAATAAAAATATCTATCAGTGAGCACAATTATTGGGACCATGAACCTAAGTGTCTAAATCTTGCTTGTATCCCATAACTTTGACCATAGCTTGTCACATTCAATTAATTTCCACTTAGAAGACCAATCCCATTTGGGAATACCCAGGGACCAGGCTTTTTTCTGCAGGATATGGTCCATATAAACCTGCTATTGGCTCATGACAGACACTGGAATGGGAGACTATGGATTTTATTAGATTCCAACTGAAGTAGTGCAATGACTCTACCCAGAGGAATTTATAATTCTCATCATATTAACTTTGCATGTTTTGAACATCTCCTTCTTAGAAGAAACAAAATGATTAGGGGATATTTGATTTTTTTTTTTTTTTAAAGATCAGAGCTTTTCCTCATTTTGCACATTGCCAAAATTCCAGGGAGGATGGGTTGGCAAACCTTCATGGTTGCAATTCCCATTTGAGAACTTCAAGGAGGAAGTGGCCGGTATTTTCACGGTTCCTGTGGAGATGACCTATGAAAAGGTGTTCTTACACCTCTTCCTTTCATCTTTGCTTCTAATTCTTATTTGCCCATTTCTCGTTGATTTTTGCTACTCAGTTTTCTTTTTCCCTGGTCTCACCAATTCTCCTCTCCTCTTTCCCAATCCATGTTTTCCTTTTACTGATTTTCCTCCCATTTCTCCTTCCCTCTTTTCTTCTTCTCATCCTTCCCACCTCTCTTTGCTCTCACCTTGACCTTTTCACACCACCCCTCCCACCTCATCTTCTGGGCTTCTCCTGCGAGGACTCTTATCTTTAACCAGTAGAGGGAGACATCACTGCTCACTTTTCCCCTCACAATTTTGGTGGCAGGGTTTATATTCCAACACCAACACCAAAAAGCCAGTGGGAATATTTGAATTCATCTAACCAGTTATATAATCTGAAGGAAAACTAACCAAGTCCCAGGATATTGGGCAGTGACAATTCGTTATTACTATGAACGGGAAATTGAGAAACCCATGTTTTCATTCCAAAACAACCCTTTAAAAGTTCCTGTTGAATCATATGAAATGACCATTTTCTCAGGTCAAAAATCATCCAAATGCTGAATACTAATAGAATAGACATCTGATTGCTTTTAAGAGTGTCTATGTAAAGGCCCCTCTGTTGGCAGCATGAAACAAATACATGTGAGGGTTGGGACACTGGACACAGCCACAACAGACACTGTGAGGGCTGCCTATTTACTGCCTAAATGAAGTGCTGGCATTCAACTCGCAGAGAAGTTGATGGCCTCAGAATTTTGGATGTCACACACATTATCACTTAATGTTACAATTCAAAAACACCCCAGAGATGATTAACTTTTTGTTTCTGCAGATTTTCAAATAAAATTGCTTATGCTGGAAAACATTTCATTTTACCCTAGCTGACTTCTTGTCTGAAATGACCCCTTGGGTACAGATTAATGGCTGCTGAAGGCAAAGCCTGGAACTTTCTAGATGGTCTTTACACAAATTAAGGATGAATGAAATTATTTATGTAGTTTGCTCCAAGTTGTCAAAATCTTCACGTTGGCCATCATTTCTCTCTGCCTGCCCATGAGGCTGTGTCCTGGGGTCTTGTGAAAGCTTACTTACAACTCCAAAAACACTACAAGCTCCTAACCTCCAGGTTAGGAGGACAATTTTTTTATTCTTTATTTAGCATTATCATTTAAGTTTGCTTAAGTTATTTTTCCTATCATAATTGATTTTTCAGGTTATTCATGGAGAGTTCTTCTGATATACTAGTTTAATAAATCAGGCAACTGCTAGGTTTAGTTTTGTTTTAATATCGGGTTAAGGGGGATTGAGAAATTAGGTTAAGCAAATCTGGCAAATGATTTTCTAAAAAGAAATTCCAACAACTATGCACCATCTTTGTGTTTAGCATGTGATCCCAAAGGATCTTTATAACTAGTGCCAGAATTAAACATAAACTGTGACCCTGATGCTATACAGAACTTGTTATTTGACAATCAAATGTGATACACACACTTAACATTGGACCATAACAGGGTGTCGTGACTGCATTCACATATTGTCAGAGCTTCAATGTTAGGCAATAATAAAAGTCAATAATGAGGAAAATAGGAATGAAAATACAATCCTCAATTGGCACTGAGGTTATCCGCACATAATTCCAGTGTGGCTTTTCAGAATTTCATTGGGGTTCAGATAACAAAGGCTGTACTGGGGTTACATGCACCATTTTCATGCTTCCAATGCCACTTCATCACTTCTCTAACACTTTCTTCCTTGGGAATTTGTAATAGAAGAAAGATCACTTAGGCTCTATATAACCATCCCCATCTCCAAATTATGTGAGATGGTAAGTTATAGTAAATTTTCCTGTTTTTGAGATAATAAATAAGACCTCAGTGGGTACTTTGATGCCAGCTATCTATCAATATTTACTCAATTTTTCTGCACTGCCATATCTGTGTGTTTACCTGAGCGCTAAAGCCATTAGCTATGATTTCTAAAATAGTGCATGTTTCCCTAGAAACACTTCTCCTATCATTCAGGAAGTACCTGTCTGATCTAGACTTTGGTCTTAAAATAAAATCATAGGCGAAGATTTGACTGAAGACATCTAGAAACTCTTTCCTTCCAGCTGTTCCTTT